TGGGCTGGAGGAGGGTGTAGGGTGGACTGGTGTTTTTCTTTTCTTTTCTTTTCTTTTCTTTTTTTTGTTCTCTTCTCTTTTCTTCTCTTCTCTTCTCTTCTCTTCTCTTTTCTTTTCTTTTCTTTTCTTTTCTTTTCTTTTCTTTTCTTTTCCTGGTGGGGGTTTTAAGATTGTCTGTGCCCTCAAAGTTTTGAGGAAGGTCACACCATCACTCTTGTGGTATCACTATCCAAGCGGCATCCCCAGAAGTTAATTACAAGGATGTGTTGGACACCATTGGGATGGAGGCTCTGTCAGTTTTCTGCTGCTATCCAACACAGACCTGAGGTATCATCCTGTGGTGTGACAGCTCTGTCACTCACAGTGTTAAAGAACTCAGCCTGTGGTTGGTTGGCAGTTTATTGCTTTGGCCTATGGGCAGGCAGTAAGTCATGGCTGGAACATGAGATGGCCAGATTAGCTCATAGTCAAATAGAGAAAGAAACTAGGGCCCCATAAAGAGTACAGCTACGGCAACCTAAAGCCCCTCTGTAGGCCACATCTCTTAATGTCTCCACCGCATCTCAGTATTGCCATGCTGAAATGAAGCCTTTAACACATGGCCTTTGGGGCACACTCCAGATTCAAGCAACAGCAGGCATGTCCTGCAAAATGATTGGTTCAACAAGTACTCTGCAAAAGTGTACAAAAAGGGAAGACACAAGGGAACCTGACAACCGGAGCAGCAGGTAACTCTGGGATGGGTCCCAGATTAGACACATGTTAGTGTCATAAATGGGATCAAATTCTGCATATTGGGTAACACGCTATTGATCAGTTTACAGAAGTTGTGTAGCCAAGTGTTCTTAGTTTTAAGAAAAACACATGAGGGGCATTGTGTACTATACACTCCCAAACATTTCAGAGGAAATATTGTGCATAAACATAGGTCTAGATTCTTAAGAATTTTACTTTATTGTTTATTTATTTATTTATTTTTGTTTTTTTGAGACAGGATTTCTCTGTAGTTTTTTTTTTTTTGAAGCCTGTCCTGGAACTACCTCCTGTAGACTAGGCTGGCCTTGAACTCAGAGATCCTCCTGCCTCTGCCTCCTGAGTGCTGGGATTAAAGGCGTGCACCACCACTGCCCGGCAAGAATTTTATTTATGTATGTATTTGTATTACTCATGTATATGTATAGCATTGCATTAGGGGTCTTTACAATGGTTTAGTGGGTAAAGTTGTCATACCTGGCTCTCTGAGTTTGATTCTCAAAACCCATATGATGGAAGGAGAGAACCAATTCTAATGTGTTGTCCTCTGAACCACACACACATAGAAACAGATGCTTAAATAATGCATTAGATGTGGTTCTCTAGAGGAACAGAACCAATAGAATGTGTATGTATGTTTTCAAATACTTTACACAGTATGTGTTGGGCAGTTCAACAATGGCCACCCACATGCTGGAGAGTCTGAGAAACAAGGAGCTGCTCAGTCCATGAGGCTGAAAGCCTTAAGAATCCCAACATTCTGTGCTGGAAGCTGAAGAAGCCGGGTTTGATGTCAGTTGAGTATAACGACAGCAGCAAAAATGATATAAATAAACTTGGTATCAAGAGGAAGGGAGGCAGTACTGCTTTTTCCTAGGACTCTGTGTCTGGGACGCTCAGGGAAGATGTCTACCCTGGTGAGTGTCTTCTCACCTCAGTAAATGCTTCCTGGAAATGCCCTGAGGACCCCGGCAGAGGCGTGTCTCTTAGTTAATTCCAGATTGAACCAAGTTAACTACAGATAGTGACCATCCAAAATATACACGTAAATCCTATGAGGAAGAAAGCGGGGGACAGGCATGATGGGGTAAGCATGCTAGTAACTTCTCTTATCACCACCAAAATCCTGGAAAGAATCAAGTATGGAGGAAGGATTTACCTTGGCTCACAGGAATACAGTCCACCCTGGCAGGATGGCATGGCATTGGATCTCACTCTACGTTAGTGGGAGCTTGCAGCTTCACACTGTAACTGACCAGATACTACAGAATATAATCTTTAATACTGACTCCTCTCCCCCAGCCATCCGCTAGGCCACAAGTCTAAAGCAGCACCACTGGTGGGTGAATGTGGTGTCTAATACAGAAGCCTAAAGAGGATATCTCAAATCCAACTGATAACATAGCATTTGGGGATTCAGAAGAAAATACAATGAGCTACTTTTTCATTGTTATGGCAAAGACACTTGACAAAAAGCAACTTTAGGAAAAGGAGTTCATTTTTGGCTCACAGTTCCATGGTACAATCCACTGCATCCGGGGAAGGTAGAAAGGGATGCTGGCAGGAGGGTGAGGCAGCTGGTTACTCGGTAAGCAGAGAGAGATGGATGCTGGTGCTCAGCTCCCTCTTTCTTTTTTGTTCAGCTGAGGGTACAGCCTATGTTCAGTTAAACCTCTCTGGAAGTACAAGAGACACCCCCAGAGGTTTGTCAGATAGGCAACCCTCAGTCCCGTAGACTGACCATCCCATGCTGCAACCCTTTGTACAAACACAGCTTTTCCCCAAGGCTGTACAAATTACCATGTCTATAGTTGCACCCCACCCCACCCTCAGCCCCAGTTCTCACACATGTTAAACAACTACCAAGTTTTTTTTTTTTTAATTTATTTATTTATTACGTATACAATAGTCTGTCTGTGTGTATGCCTGCAGGCCAGAAGAGGGCACCAGACCTCATTACAGATGGTTGTGAGCCACCATGTGGTTGCTGGGAATTGAACTCAGAACCTTTGGAAGAGCAGGCAATGCTCTTAACCTCTGAGCCATCTCTCCAGCCCCAACTACCAAGTTTTAAAGTGCAGGCTAAGTCCGGGTTTGCAGTTCATTGGACGGCAGAGACAGGTGTCTCTGGAAACCAGGGAGCAGTGGGCAGGCGGGGGAAGCATCACCTATATCCACTCAGGTCTGTTTTCTTGTTTTCCTCTGCTTCCTCTGAGAAGGCTCCTTTTTCTTTTTTAAGATTTATCTATCTATCTATCTATCTATCTATCTATCTATCTATCTATCTATCTATCTAT